CAGCGTGTGCTTGACAGACGGCAAGTGTCAAATCAATATATATAATGGTTATGGAGCGTAGACTGTTCCTTTTTTAAGAATGGTACTGACTATAGCTTACATTTTGTTTTCTGCTGTTCTTATAGCAGTAATGGGTAATTTGGGTTTTCCCATAATTTGCTGCACAATGCTTGCAGCATGCCAACATCCTAATATCTTTTACAGCATAGCTAACACTGTATTGGATTTGAAAGTCAAGCAAACTTTGCTTTATACTTGGCAATAATTTACAGTTTGCAATGTTTCATGCTCTTTTATATTTTGTAAATTAGATTTATCCACATTTTAGGTTGGAGCTGATTTTTATTCATTATGTATTCTGCAAAGATTATTCACAAAAGAGTAGAACAAATGCAGGTAGGCTTAGGGTATCTCACGAATCCCAGTCTAAACTACATTACCTGGAAATATTACATAGAAGTATAGCGTGAAGTAATATTAACTAGAGATTAACTCCAATATAAACAAATGAAAATAGAGTAGATGTAACATAAACACTAGTATTCCTATGTAACTAAAGGGAAAGCACCAAATGCCACAGCTAGGATCTGGCAGTATGTATACGTCAAGAACCTTTACACCTATATGACAGCTTTAATAGAATATATATGCTACATAGGAAAAAGTGTTCATATATCTATCTAATTGCCAGTAACTAGCTTCCTAAGTGCAAAATCCCACAGATTCCTTGTGTCCATATATATATGTATAGGACCATGGAGTAAATGTCTGCTGATAATATATACTAATGCAAAGTTAGTTTCTATTGAGTCTAGCCATATGTAAGAAAAATGTTCCAAACAGCAGACCTTACCAATAAATAGGAAAAAGTCTAGAATAGTCCGCACAAGAGAGAGACTTAGATGTAAAGATAGAGAAAAGTTTGTAGAAACTAATGGTCAGTCAAAATCAGACTGCCATATATATTAAAGTTATTAAAGCCTCTCTCCCTGGTAAACTAGCTAGACAGGCATAGGAATATATAAAAGGTAAAACAGAAGAAAAAAGTTTAAGTGCAATTCATAGTGCTAGAGTGCCATTCAGTGCCCAGTGTAAAAGTTGGCAAAAACGCCCATTATTTAGGACTCTAATGTATAGGTGCGCTCTCCCTGCTGTTTAGGGAGTGGCTACGCACTGAGATACATATGGTCTTAATTATATATTCGTTGTCTGCAAAGATTATTCTACTTTTTTTGTCTTTCTTTTCTATTATTTGTATTGCCATACTCCTTAACACATGGGTAAAAAACAACCACCTGTGGTCAGCTTTTTAAAAATTGCAATGAATTAATTTTATTTTGTATCTTACTGTCATGGTACAATGGTTTTACTTGTTTTGCCAAAGATGCCAAGTACCATAACCATGTTCCACTATTGCTTTATGTACAAAACATAATTTCAAATGTAAAGCAGACTGCAGGATTGCATTGTGTCAGAGTAAATACCGTATATACTCGAGTATAGGCCGACCCGAATATAAGCCGAGGCCCCTAATTTTACCCCAAAAAACTGGGAAAACGTATTGACTCGAGTATAAGACTAGGGTGGGAAATGCAGCAGCTACTGGTAAATTTCTAAATAAAATTAGATCTTAAAAAAATTATATTATTTGAATATTTATTTACAGTGTGTGTATATGATGAATGCTGTGTGTGTGTATGAATGCAGTGTTTGTGTATGAATGCAGTGTGTGTGTGTATGAATGCAGTGTGTGTGTGTATGAATGCAGTGTGTGTGTGTATGAATGCAGTGTGTGTGTGTGTGTATGAATGCAGTGTGTGTGTGTGTATGAATGCAGTGTGTGTGTGTATGAGTGCAGTGTTTGTGTGTATGAGTGCAGTGTGTGTGTGTGTGTGTGTGTATGAGTGCAGTGTGTGTGTGTGTGTGTGTGTATGAATGCAGTGTGTGTGTGGTGCAGTGTGTGTTTGTGTTGCAGAGCCTTGGTGGGGGGTGGGCATTTTTATATAAAAAAATTATTTTAATTTTTTTGTTATATTTTTTATTTTATTTATTTTATTATTATTTTTATTATTATTTATAAATTATTAATGTATTTATTTTGTTGTCCCCCCTCCCTGCTTGATACATGGCAGGGAGGGGGCTCTCCTTCCCTGGTGGTCCAGTGGCATTGGCAGTTCAGTGGGGGGAGGAGGGAGGCTGGCAGAGCTGTAACTTACCTCTCCTGCAGCTCCTGTCAGCTCTCTCCTCCTCCGCGCCGGTCCGTGCAGCTCTTCTCTCAGCTCACACTGTAAGTCTCGCGAGAGCCGCACTATGACCCCGCGGCTCTCGCGAGACTTACACTGGGAGCTGACCGAGGTGCTGACCGGACCGGCGCGGAGGAGGAGAGAGATGACAGGAGCTGCAGGAGAGGTAAGTTACAGCTCTGCCAGCCCCCAGTCTGTATTATGGCAATGTAAATTGCCATAATACAGACTGACTCGAGTATAAGCCGAGTTGGGGTTTTTCAGCACAAAAAATGTGCCGAAAAACTCGGCTTATACTCGAGTATATACGGTAAGTCAGGGACAATGGTTGATGATTTACCCCTTGCAATGCAGGCATACCCTCTGTACACAATTAGGGAGACAGAGTGGGTCTGTTTATTAGATTAATTGTTTTCCCCTCTGTCTGGAATTACCTGTAACTGATGTCTTTTGTTAATAAGCATTTGATAATTTTAATAGTGTTATCTGTTGTCTGGTGTGCCTGTAATTGATTTACCTGTTTTAAATTAGGCTCTCTATTGTTTGAGATTAACCATGTTATAATTGATTTCATTTTACCCTGCACCTCTCATGTCCCTTATTGGTCACTGTGGTTTATGTGCTATTTGAAAAACGGCTACATATTCTTTCTATGGAGCTTGTGTTTCTTGAAGCATCCAGGTATATTCACTATGGAGCAGTTACTCATAGAGAATTGCCAGTGGACTAGATAGAATGTCTTATATGAACTGGAGTTATCAGTGCAGTATATCCTGCATTGCCAGTGGACACATGACTCAAAGTACTGGGTCTTAGTGCTTATTGAAGCCGTTAGCTGCGCAAGCTAGCGAAAGAAACCCACGGAAAATTACGTGCTTGATTTGCTACACCTTCCATAGCAGAGACACCAGGGCAGTATCATCATACTTACTATTTAGCAGAAGTGCTTGATGTCCTGCAGCCTGGCTTCCAATTATGACACGATGGAAGTATGCTCTGATTCACGCCAGGGGTAGCAGGCAGTGATAGTGTAACCGCAGGTGGTTCCCTTATTTACCACTATAATGATTTAAAGCATAGAACTTAGTAGGGCTAACCATACAGATATCTTAGCCATAATTTTATATAGTTAGTAAGAGATCCTCTATTTAACATATATAAATAATTGAGAATATAATATAAAATAAGGATTGTCTTGGAAGCAATAGTTTTGTCTTTTTGGATATTTATTATATAAAAATATAAAATCCATTATAGCAGAGTTTATAAGATTAAATTACATGCTTGCAAATATCATTAATAGGTTAACATACCCTTCTGAACATGTCATCATGTCAGCCTCTCTGTCATTTTAAGATGGAGCAGCGTCTGTCTCCAAGTCTCTCATCTGTGTCTTAACATTTAAAAGTACACTTATTTATACTTAAGGTGTCGTCATTTTAGAGTTACCGTAGTTCATATATGAAAAAGTAACACTTCTTTTACTTTATTCATTTTAGGACCTCCCTTAACTTGGCAAACATACAAGGCCATAACTAAAGGGTCCATACGTCATGTAAATTTTCCTGACTTAGTTCAAGATGGCATCTTAAAGTCTAAATAGCTTATCTGTTGTTTATACTAAGTCGGAAGTGCACAGTCGTGGGAGATTCCCGGATTTGGGGACGTTCCATTAACTTGGGGTTACCACAGTATATTGTGTACTGAAAGAGTCGTAGGATAGCCTTGAAGCTTGTTTATGCATTATTGTTATTGTAATTCGTCTGGGACAAAATGGTGCAAACATATTATGCACTGAGGTTATTGCTTAAAGAAACATCTATGAAAAACAATATGTTCCATTTTTAACACCTTGTCAATTTGCAATATCTCTTAAAGACAAAGTACACAGTTTAAGAAATACAACATTTCATTCTAAAACTTGTAATATTTGCGTTTGCCCATAACAATAGGCTGACCGTGTCCCCTACGTACTTTCAACAGTCACTGCCACCTTTAGGCACCTTTGCTCGGATTGTTATTTATCTGACGCAACCCACACTATTTAGTATTTCAAAGTGGCCTGATAGAAAATGTTACTGACCGTTGCAAATTAGCCAGTACTGCGTCAAATAACTTACAGACAGACCAAAGGTGCATAAAAATGGCTGCCAGAAAGTGAGAAAGCTCTAAGATTGCAATGTGCAGAAATAAATACGAGTTGGCATATCCTAAATATTATATACCGTATTTATCGGCGTATAACACGCACTTTTTCTCCCTGAAAATAGGGGGCAAATTATGGGTGCGTGTTATACGCCGGACCTTTAAATGCTGCAGCCGCCTGAGCGCTCTGTCAAGTTGGTTCTCACCTCCCCTCCCCTGTAGCATGGCCGAGCTGCTCTGCTGTCCGCGGTGCCCGGCCGGAGTGATAGGAAGGTGCACGCTCAGTAAGGGGAGTAAGGGGAGGGGAAGTATGAAGAGGGGGAGGGGGGGTAAGAAGTTCTTTATTTGAAATTTAAGTTTTTTTTCCCTGAAATTTCCTTCTTAAAATGAGGTGCGTGTTATACGCTGATAAATACGGTAAATATCTTTTTACGCTAGAGCGTGGTTTATAGACAGAGAACTGTTTTAATGATGTGATTGCTCAATTACAAAATATAAGTCTTAAATGTTTTTACCCTCCAGAGCATGTATATGGTGTTTTGGATTTTTCTGCATTTAGTTATTATGGCGGGCTACCTGTTTCAGTTCTGCTAATTTTTCCCACTGTCATTTCAGATAACTAATGGCTCATAATAAATCCATGCACCCACGAAATCGGTACAAAGATAAACCTCCAGATTTTGCATACTTGTCTTCCAAGTATCCAGAATTTAAGCAGTACATAACTGTGAGTTTGGCTGGAAAACCAAGGTATGTTTTATATCTTTCACAACAATGCTGGCATTATGTTTCACATTTATCTGTACAGTGGAATCATAAAAAGCCTGTGATATTGTGTATTGCATAAACCTTTGTGTTGTGTTTACAGCTTTTCAATGAAAGCTTATGGTAATTATAAAGTGGAGGTTGGAGCTTATACAGCTGGTCACACTGCCATTGCTTCCATACCTAATGTGTAGAGTGGTGTGATATCCATTTCAATGTGATATTTCTTTAGGAAAAGGTGGAGCCGTCTAAAATTGTTGGAGGGTATACTGTCCACATCACCCCCAAGGCACAATAACTGAACTTTGTTTATTTGAAAGACGCATTTACCATATTTTCAAATAAGACATTCTGTGGCTCTCTAGATTGTTCACAACCATTTTGTGTAATGAGTCCTAGGTTTTGCTCATAGTATATCCGAGAGTACTCTAGACTTAAAGTACTAGTGTAAGTGACCAATTGTTATGCCCTAGGTCAGTGATAGCGAACCTTTTTGAGCCCGAGTGCCCAAACCACAATACATACATGCCAACTTTTTTACTTCAAAGTTTTTACCAACACGGCAATTAAACCTGAATACTGAGGTTTAAGTTTAGGAAAAAAAACCTCATACAGTTGTTGGAACTAATTCTCCTCTTCTCTCCCCCCAGCATCTTCAGTTCTCTAACCACAGCATATTCCCCTCTTCCCACAGCATCTTCTCTTCTCCCTCAGCATCTCCTCCTCCTCTTACCCAGAATCTCCTGCTCCTCCTCTGCCCCTAGCATCTCCTCTCCCCTTCTCCCCCCAGCATCTATATCTCTATTTTTCTCTCACATCAAGAAGTTGCACTTATTGGTTCATTTAATTTTATTTTTCTTATTTCTACAACTTGTCATTCAATAAAAGTTCACTTTGGGCACCTGCTATGTGCGATGTGACATTTAGCATTCCTATTTAACCTGAAATATTGCATTCTCAAATATCTAGCTTCTGATGTTTGCATGTACTGGATTGGTTTCTCTCAAAAGGACCATTCAGTGTGGCCAAATAAAGTTTAGCCTGTTAAGAATTTGTTACACATGCCATCTTTATATCATTATCTGGTAGAAAAAATTTTTATGGGTCACATAACCTTCATATAATCTTCTATGGGTCACATAACCTTACAGAACTCTGTAAGATAGTTATGGAACGCTATTCAAAATTTAAATTCTCTAGTCTCAAACCATACCCCTGTTAAAACTTAAGCTTGTTCATATCATTCAAATTCTTCTGAATGCAAAAACACATCCATCAATTGCCTCCACACTCCTGGATCGGCCATTGCGCGAGGGAGCACTGACTTACTTTCTGTTCCAGTACTGCTCCCTCTGCTGATGCTGCCGGGAGACAGGAAATTATATCAGGCTGGCGGCGCCTGATTGACGTAATTTCCTTAATCCAGACGGCATCAGCGGAGGGAGCAGTGCTGGAACAGCACATAAGTCAGTGCTCCCTCACTGCCCTCCATCCCACTCACCCACCAACAATACGAAAGCAGAGTAGGCGTCTGCCGTTTTGGGCAGGCGCCTACTCTTCATTGCCGCCTGGGCAAGCCTAAGGCTGCTGAGCCAGCCAGCGGCGCCCCCATAAGATTCGCTGGCCCTGCGTATCGATCCGGCGACTTATGGCTACATGCCCACAGAGAGGGCACGTGTGCCATAGGTTCCCCATCGCTGCCCTAGGTTGTCCAACTCCTAAGAATTTATGTATGTTCTCTGAACATTCTGTTAACAAACTGTGATGTCATCTAAAATTAACTAAATGATTCTGTTTTTGGCATTTGATTACTGTCACAGCTTCTCTATCAATACAAATGTGCTACTTTTTTCTTACTAGAGTTTCCACTATGTAGGGAGGTGCAACATCCCTGGTTCTAAGTGATTTTGTCTGTTGCTGAATGGACTTGGAGTTCCAGTATAAATGCATGCAAAATTATGCCTCAGATTGTCTAGTTAATAAAAATGTTTCTTCTATTTTACTTCTCTGGCATTATCTAGTAAAAGGGATACTACACGCACCTTAAAGCGTTACTGTCATGCCGAACTTACCTTTCCCCAATCGATTCCTCTTCTCTCCCTCTGTCAGGATCTGTTCTTCATTTCTTCCTGTCTGCTCTAGTTTTCTTTAAAACAAAAGACAAAGTACTGACCATCTTTGACCAGTGAAGGAGCAAAGTGTGCTCTGTTTCCTGTAGTCAGAGAAATATTCCCATAATTCTTACCTTTCCTTCGTAATCTCGCGATGCTTCCTGTCAGTATTCCCGAACGTCCTGTCATCTAGACAGGACGCTGGCGAAACTACCGAATGTCATCCTAACAGAATGAAAACCGTTTCTCCATTCATGTTAGAACGCAATTCGGGACTTTGTTCGGATAGGAATTTCATTCAAATGAATGAAATTCTGATCCGAATCATGCCGCGGCTGCATCTTGCAGCCACTTAGTAGATAACTCCCTAATTCCCATGGTATTAGTGAGCTATCTACCAAAAGACTGAAACACCTGAATTGGTCTTTCAGCCAAATTTACTAATACTAAGTAAATATTACTTAGTATTAGTAAATTCTGCCCCTACTCGCTATATCGTGAGTAGGGGCATGTCTACTAAACAGTGAGCAGCCTGTGTGTGTAAAGAAAAAAAGTTTGAGATGGTTTTTCATGCTTATTTGTTTCTCATTGTGTGTGCTTAAGACTCTTACTTTTATTCACGCTAGTTTAAACTTCAAGGATCCAGGAGCAGTGAGAGCCTTGACGTGCACCCTCTTAAAGGAAGATTTTGGGCTCACCATTGACATACCTCTTGAACGGTTAATTCCTACTGTTCCTCTGAGACTCAATTATATTCATTGGGTGGAAGATTTGATCAACTATCATGATTCTGACAAGACTGTTCTGCGCAGGGGGATCGACATAGGTAAATAAATTTCCAGTGTTGTCAAACTGTTTTACAATGCCCGTTATTTATATAAAAACTAGATGGCTAGATTTTGTTTTCTGTAATGCAACCCCTTAGTGACCAGACCGTTTTTCAATTTTCTTACCGTTAAGGACCAGGGCTGTTTTTACATTTCTGCTGTGTTTGTGTTTAGCTATAATTCAATGCACTCACACTTATTATAATTCATTTTGTTCAGCAGAAGAAGGGCTTTCATTTCATATCAAATATTTATATATGAAACATATTTAATATGAAAAAAAATCAAACAATTTGAGAAATTAAGAAATGTTATTTTTTTTAGTTTTGCATTTTAACAGTGAATTTTATCACACTGTTGCTGTTACTGCAATAAAGTACACATTTGTATTTAGCGTTGTCTCACGAGTAAAACAGTGGTGCATCCTGCCACAATAAGGCTGGTCTGGATGTTGAAAATTGGGTAATTATATTCCTCGTGGTCCAGAGCTCCACAAACATGCCACTGCCTGCTTTGGCTGTGAGACTCCGCCCCCCAACAGAATCAGATTTATTATTATTATTTTTTTTACCAATTATCCAAATTTTCCCCTTTTTGGGGGCACAGCCAGGAGAAGCTGTGAATTTTCTGTGTGTGAAAGGTAAGCTGTTAATTTTTGGCAGATTTGCCCCATTTCCGGCCAAACAAATTCGTGATTTTTGTGGGAAAAGCAAGTCTTATGGCTTGACTGGTGTGCAGATTTTTGTTTAACATTGTATTAACCATCCACAGACTCCAGGTGGAAGGGGTTTTCAATCATAATTTTTCCCCCCACCATAACTGTTTTGGTTGTTGCTTTGCAAGTACCTCCAAGCCTCAAAGCTAGCCAGTAACCAACCTCATGCTGATGATTTGCATTAACAATGAAACTGCTGTCCATGAGTGGTTCACTGGCTTTGCATCTTTTCCTAAGTTGTGTTTCAAAGCTGTTGTATACAGCAAACACAGACTCAAAGGAATCCATGTTTAAAATGGAATGAGGCAAAAATGTGATTCCCACCCAGAATCCTTTACGGTAGTGACATCACTGCAAATTTGTGATTTCTGTGGAAAAAGCAAGTCTTACGGCTTGACTGGTGTGCAGAGTTTTGTTTAAAGCGGTACTGTCATGCCGAATCCTGTTTTTTTTTTGTTTTTTTTTAACCCCCCCCCTCCCCCCGGCTTCTACCATCTCTAATTGACCCCCTAGCCACCCCCAAATGCCCCTAAGCCCCCCACATTAGCTATTTTGTATTCCTTATTTTCTGCCCCGATCTATATTCAGGGCGCCGCCATCTTTGTGTGGGTAGATGAAGTCCCTGTGGGACTCGTCATCTGCCCACACTAGATAGCCTGTGAGATTCCCGCACATGCCTAGTGAAACACCTGACAGATGAATGAATAGAAATATCAGCCAAACAAACAAACACCATCAGTGTTCGTTTGTTCTTTCAGTTTATTACCGGCGTGCAGCTCCCTCCTTGTAATATGTAACTATAGAAGCGGCAGGGAACTGTGCTCTCCACACCACTTCATAAGCCTGGGCGGCGGGTGGGGGCCATAATGATAATGGGGGGTGGGGGAGGGGGGGGAGGAACCTATTGGTACTCCCCCTCCCCCCTGGGCAGCGGGTGGGGGCCATATTGATAATGAGGGGGGATGGACCCCCACCCCTGGTGTCATTCATTCAAATGAAATTGCGATCCGAATAAAATGCCGAATTGAGTTCTAAAAGAAACGAACATACTGTTCTCATTCAGTTAGAACGCAATTCGGCAGTTTAGTGTAAAATGACAGGAACACAGAGGAAAGGTGAGAATTATAGGAAAATTGCTCTGACCAGCGGAAATGAAGCACACTTTGCTCCTCCGCTGGTCAAGCGGAGGAATCCTCCATAAGGCAAAGAGTCCCTACTTTGTCTTATGATTTTAAAGAAAACTAAAGAAGACAGGAAGAAAAGAATGACAGATCCTGAGAGAGGGGGAGAAGAGGAAGAGATTGAGGAAAGGTAAGTTCGGCATGACAGTGCCGCTTTAACATTGTATTAAAAAAAAAAATATATATATATATATATATATATATATATATATATATATATAAAATATAATTTTTATTTATTTTTTTTAAATTGATTTTATCACCCCTCCTGGGTGGAATGTTTATTCCTCATTCTCGGGTCCTCTACCAGAGGCCTGGGAGTCCGATGTTTCTGCGCAGTATCTTAGCTGTTCCTACAACTGCACTCCTGGACAGCGATCTCAGATGTCCCACCTAGAATCTATTGAAGCCACTCCCTCAACTTAGGAGTCACTGCCCTGAGTGCTACTATCACAACTAGGACTAGTACTGCCTTCACTTTCCACATCCTTTCTAGTTCTTTCAGTCCTTGGTATTTCTCCATCTTCTTATATTCCATCTTCCTCATGTTATAGTCACTGGGTATTGCCTCATCCACCATGACTGCAGTTTTCTGCTCCTTGTCTACCACAACGATGTCTGGTTGGTTGGCCAGCACTTGCTTGTCTTAGCCCTGTCATTCTCAACTACCCTTTGTGGTATCTCCCATCTGGGTTCAATCCATATTCTGTGCAGATGTTTCAGTACACAATCCCAGCAACTTGGTTGTGTCTCTCCATGTATGCTGTTCCTGCTAACATCTTGCATCTGGCTACTAGGTGGTGAACGGTCTCAGAGGCCTCTTTGCACAGTCTGCACATTGGGTCTTAACCGGTGTGGTAGACTCCAGCTTCTATTGATCTTGTGCTGATTGCCAGTTCCTGTGCCGCTAGGTTTAGTGCCTCAGTCCTGCCTTTTCAAACCACTGGTAGGATTTTGTTATGTAAGCCACATGGTGGTACAACCCATGGAGAGGTTTGTCTTGTCATGGAACCTTCTCTTTGTTTTGCATTCTCTATCTGTTGTTGTCTCAGGTATTCCCATAGCAGCTCATCTTTGGGAGCTATCTTTGTGATGTACTTATGGATGCTCTGTGTTTCATCCAGGACTGTGGTCTTGACACTCATCAGGCCCCAACCTCCTTCCTTCTGGCTGGTGTACAGTCTCTGGGTGCTGGATTTCCGGTGGAATCCTCCATTCATAGTGAGTAGTTTCAGGGTTTTGACATCCATGGTGACCAGTTCCTCTCTTGGCCAGGTTATTATTCCTGCTGGGTACCTGATGACTGGTAGGGCATATGTATTGATTGCTTGGATCTTCTTGCCATTGATTTGTGACTTCAGGACCTGCCTGACTCTTTGGAGGTACTTGGATGTTGCGATCCACCTTGCCTCTTCCTCGTGGTTGCCATGTATTTGTGGTACCCACAGGTACTTGTAGCTGTTCTCTACATCTTCTATTTGGCCTTTTGGACCTTGAACTCTCTCTGTCCTGATCATGGAAACATAGAATGTAACGGCAGATAAGAACCATTTGGCCCATCTAGTCTGCCCAATTTTCAAAATACTTTTAATTAGTCCCTGGCCTTATCTCAAGTCTAGGATAGCCTTATGCCTGCTTAAACTCCCTCACTGTGTTAACCTCTACCACTTCAGCTGGAAGGCTATTCCATGCATCCACTACCCTCTCAGTAAAGTAATTATTTTTAAACCTTTGCCCCTCTAATTTAAGACTGTCATATTGTTGTGGTAGTTTTTCTTCTTTTAAATATAGTCTACTCCTTTACTGTGTTGATTCCCTTAATGTATTTAACTGTTTCTATCATATACCCCCCAGTTTTGTCTTTCCTCCAAGCTATACATGTTAAGATTCTTTAACCTTTCCTGATAAGTTTTATATCCTGCAATCCATGAACCAGTTTAGTAGCCCTTCTCTGAACTCTTTCTAAAGTATCGATATCCTTCTGAAGATACGGTCTCCAGTACGGCGTACAATACTACAAGTGAGGTCTCACCAGTGTTCTTTACAATGGCATGAGCACTTCTCTCTTTTTACTGCTAATGCCACTACCTATACAACCAAGCATTCTGGTAGCATTTCCTGCTGCTCTATTACATTGTCTTCCTACCTTTAAGTCATCTGAAATAATTACTTCTAAATCCATTTCCTCAGATGTTGAGGTTAGTATGGTATCAAATATTCTTTAGTCTGCGATTTGGGGTTTCACGCCCAAGATGCATTATTTTGCACTTATCCACATTAAATGTCAGTTGCCACAGCTCTGACCATTTTTCTAATTTATCTAAATCATTTGTCATTTGGCTTATCCCTCCTGGAACATCCACCCTGTTGCAAATTTTAGTATCATCAGCAAAAAGACATACCTTACCATCAAGACCTTCTGCACGATCACTAATAAAAATATTAAAGAGAATGGGTCCGAGTACAGATCCCTGAGGTTACCCCACTGGTAACTAGACCTTGCTTCGAATATACTCTGTTGGCAACAACCCACTGTTGCCTGTCATTTAGCCACTGCCTAACCCATTTAACAATATTGGAATCCAAACTTAAAGATTGCAGTTTATTGATGAGCTTTCTATGTGGAACAGTGTCAAAAGCCTTACTGAAATCTAGGTAAGCAATGTCTACTGCACCACCCATATCTATTATTTTAGTTCCCCAATCAAAAAAATTGATTAGATTAGTTTGGCATGATCTCCCTGTAAGTAAACCCATGTTGTCTCTGATCTTGAAATCCATGTGATTTTAGATGTTCAATAATCCTATCCTTTAACATGGTTTCCATCACTTTCCCCACTACTGAAGTAAGGCTTACTGGCCTATAGTTGTCTGACTCCTCCCTATTACATTTCTTGTGAATGGGTACAACATTCGCTAATTTCCAATCTTCTGGGACTACTCCTGTTAACAATGATTGTTAACTAGGATTGTAGACAGTGCGTC